ACCTATTCTTAGTAACTCAGAATGATTATATCAGACTTCTCCCTCCACAGACCATTGTGAAACCTTACTGGAGATATCACATGCACTTTATGGCCTACTGTCCTTTATGTAAGAAGCCACCTTAGATTCTTGGCCTTTTAGATATAGAAACCACCCTCATAGTCCAAGAATTTTGGAAAAACAGTTTCTACATAGTCACACCTAAATCTTCATTGTACAACTGCCATGAGAATGATTATGGAAATTAATGTTGACTGCAGACCCTTTTCTAATTCTATTGTCTTTAAATATAGCTACAATAAACTACCTGTTCTTAGACTCCCTGAAGTCTGATCCATGTTGGATATGTCAATCCACACCCAGTTCTCAGTCTCATCTCATCTCTTCTGACTGACAACTTCTGGGATCCCCTCAAGAGAACAACACCTAAACAACTCTTTGAACATGGAGAATTGAATCTCATCTAGAGCCTTCACATCTGCAGACAAATGTTTATGATCCTGGAAGGCACTCAACATGCTATCAATGGAGAAAAATAAACAGGAAACCAGCTTTAAAAAACCTTTGACCTAAAGAGTGTCCTGCCACCTGCCTGCAAGTTACACTATTACAAAAATAGCACAAATCATGTAGGAATAATCAACCAAGATTCGATTTGATTCAGAGCCCATTCCACAAACTGGAACTCATACCTAAAAATATTTGTTTGACCAACAACTTGTGAATAGATAGTTTAGGGACGTAGGACAAAAAACTGATATTATTCTCTTAAAGGTTTATAGAAGAAAATTACTCCTATATGAAAAAATAAGTTATTTCAAATGAAATTACTTTATGCACTTAAAGGTTAATAATGGAAAATATATTACTAAAAATGTAAGCACACACACAAACAAACACACACAAATCAGCTAAAATCCTAGCAATTTATTGCATATTGCAATACAACTTGGCATTATGCATTTTATATATGCAGCATTCTAAAGTCTTTTGATTTCTGTCCGCTAAAAATCCTTTAAACAATTTAAACAGAGAAAGGAGTCTTAAAGTATGGGCACTTACATAGATAAATGTGGTATATACACAACAAAGAGGATTTCAGAATTCTTATTTATTAATTTTCTTAGATTTTCTCTATTTTGCATTGAAAATAAATTGTTTTCAATATATTCAGATTACTGATTTCTCTTCTTCATCTCCTTCCATAGAATATGAAAAATCAACGCCCTTTCTTTATCTAATGAGAAATACAAACAGCACCTAAAATATTAAAAAAGAAAAACAAAAGAAAAGAAAACAAACTGGAATAATGACAAAACAACAAGCAATCAGAAAAAAGCACCAAAAAACAATCACAAGAAAATCATAGAGATGCAGAGACAAACATGTTCACAAGTACACTATAGGACAAAGATGGGTACCAGGTATAAAACAAACTGTGAAAATTGATGCTTTTTCAGAATAGGTCCATGGTCTCTAAACAGTAATGACTGGAGAAATGTTTATTGAGACTGGGACCACTTATATGGGGCCAGATATTAACATATAACCTCAGAATCTACCTCAGTTAGCACATACATATTTTGAGTTAATAAATGAGTTCTGTGAAAAGTGAGTTAATATCATATTTGTCCACCATTGTGTCTGAAGCCATTTTGCCTACTTCTGTGAAAGGTGATCTGTCAGACAGAGTCAAGGCAGGAGGGCTGAATGTTCTTTTCATCTTGGAGGAAGCAACTGGGAGGTTTCTTGATGGGAAAAGATGTGTAATGTATGTCAGCAATTGTCTCTGCCAGATTGTGACTCTTTCCCACTATGTAAGTATATTATGATGGTTTGCGTATGCTCAGCCTAGGGAGTGGCACAATTAGAAAGTGCAGCCCTGTTATAGTAGGTATGTCACTGTGGGCATGGCTTATAATACTGTCATCCTAGCTTACTGGGAGTCCTTATTCTGTTAGCAGCCATCAGAAGAAGATGTAGAACTCTCAGCTTCTGCTACACTATGCCTGCCTGGATGCTGTCATGCTCTCCCACCTGGATGATACTCAACTGAACTTCTAAACCTGTAAGCCAGTTCCAACTAAATGTCCTTCATAAAACATGCCTTTGTTATGTTTTCTGTTCACAGCAGTAAAACCCTAAATAAGACAGAAATTGGTACCAGGGACTGGGGTATTGATGTGATAGGCCCGACTGAGCATTATTTTTTTTTTCGGAAGACTTTTTTGGAACTTATATTTGGAAAGCAATGGAAGGCTTTAAGTGGGGCTTAATGGGCTATCCTAGAAGGAATGTGGAAGACTTGTTGCTGTGTGTGATTTGAACTGTGTGACTCGGCCCAAAAGATTTCAGTGAGTAGAATTTCACTATGTGGCCGACAGTCAGTTTTTGTGGTATTTTTGTGAAAAATGTGATTAATTTTTGTCGTTGTCTGAAGAGTCTGCCTGAGCCTAAGTTGAAGAGACTCATTAATTGCACTGAAAAAGGAAGTCTCAAAAATACCCATCATAGATATTTTTTCTCTGGTTAAGTCTCGTGAAAAGAAGTTTAAACAAGCATAGCTAGCTGAGAAGGGGAAAACATAAAATATATGGTTCAAGCATTGAAAGGGTACCAGGGAATGAAAAGAGGATCGATCCTATGTTCAAGGATATTGGATTGAATTAAGGGACTAGTGATCTTGGGGCAAGATCACACCCAGCTAAGTTTAGGTACTACAAGCCTTTAATCACAAGAGGCAAAGACAAGCAAATCTCTGAGTTCAAGGCCAACCTAGAGCACATTTTAGGTAAACAAAAACTTAATTCCAGGCTTAGTATAAGACATTTAATGCCAGTGCTTAGGAGACAGGCATGCAGATCTGAGTTCAAAGTAGTCTTCAGAGCAAGTTGAAGAACAGCCAAGCTTAGGTGGTGAAGAAATTTGAAAACAGAAAGGTGGTGATTATGGAATAGAACAAGGGTGAGGGCATTTTCCAACCCCATTAAGCAGCAGAACTCAGCACTTTCAGCCATGTGCCTCTGGCTTTAAAGTAGAGAATAGAAGGGATTACTGGGACAATTCATGCTGGTTAGCTGGAGCTAAGAAGTTAGTGTTGATTCCGAAGCGACTAGCATCACTGAGATGACATCTTCTCTAAAGTGTACTCAGAGAGCACAAAAAAGTTGTGTTTCAGAGGCAGCCAAGGTTGTAACTTGCTATAACTGTATTTGGTAATGTGTATAAGGCACCCAGGTGGTACTGATTTTGAAGGCATTAAGGGATCATTAAATGCAGCTGAAGCTTGGCACACTGAGAGGCCCTAGAAAGCTACTGGTGAAGGTACAGCTTCAGTTGTAGTTGATGTCCCAGGACAGAAGGGGTCATGTAAAGGATTTGAGCCTTGGCACTATGAAGAGAGTGTATAAGAGGCTATTGGTTAAGCCTAGTTGCTGTAGAAGTAACCCATGCATTGGAGATGCCATTACAAAGGGATGATCACCAAGAACAGCAGTGGCAGTGGAGTGGATATTCAGGAGCTTAGTGCTACAGAGGTTAGAACTGGAGAAGTGACATCAGCCCTTTGGAGGAGCATAGAAAATCATGTGTGGGCCCCAGATATTGTACTTACAAGATGTGAGGTTTAAGTTGCCTTGGAGACCCCAAAATGTTCAAGATGCCAGAGACATTTGTTATCTCCCGAGGAAAGCTGGATAACAGAGAGTGGAGTCAGCCCAGGAGAAAAAAGTTTGTTGCAGTCAACAAAGATGAAAAAGGAGTTGGAGATCTGAGGACTCCTTTGACATCAGCTACGGAAATTCAGAGTTTAGAGTTTGTCAAGCTTGATTCCTGTCTTACTTTGGGAATTATAGTTAAGTGATTATGAATCATAGAAGAGACTTTGAACTTGGACTTTTAACATTGATGAGATTGCTATAGACTATGGGGACTTTGGAAATTGGACTAAATGTATTTTGTATTATGCTATGTTTAGGTATGGCCCTCATAGTCTCAAATATTTGAACAAGACTATGGGGGCCAGGGAGTCGTATGTAATATTTTGTGTATGCTCAAGCCAGAGAATTGCATTATTTGAGGTTGTGGCACTTTTAGAGAAGGTGTGTCATTCTGAGTGTGGGCTATAAGATTTTTACCTTCCTGGAAGCCAGTTCCTTGCTAGCACATTTCAGATAAAGATTTAGAAATCTCAGCTCTGACTGCACCATGCCTGCCTGGAAGATACTGGTCTGAAACTCTGAAACTGTAAGCCAGCCCCAATTGAATGTTGGTCATGTTACAGTAGTTAACACTCAACTAAGACATATATAAAGCCTATGAGAACTAAATTCAGGATTGCTTTGGTATTCTCTTGACAGCTCTCTGATTTCTAACCTTTGTCTCAGAGTCTTCATTTACATCTCTCCTATAAGCATCTTCACTACTACCTCAGAAGACTGTTCAACTTGGCACCTACAGGAGAGATGCAGCTATGCATTCTCATACAAAATCCTCTTATATTCTAAGAGCCTGGAAATTCTGCCACACCACACACCACAGTTAGCAAAACATAGAGAAGTCATGCAAGACCTTAAGACTGAGAAAGGGCTTCTTGTTTGCTCAGAATTTGGTGGAATTTTACAGGTCAAATCATATTAGACTTTATTCCCAGCTATTTCAAAGAAAGTTCTAGTCTTATTCACAATCATGAGACATTTTTATCATACATAATCACATGTTGCCTTTTTTGTTTTATTAAAGAAGAAATATATCAATGGATGATGTTACTGATGATGACATGGACAAGATATGTGTTACTTTAGGAGTATCCTAAATCAGTATCACATAATTGATAGATGTCCTTCTGCAAAGCTGACCAAAGCACAATAGGTCTCTAAGGAACAAACACTAAAACGGACATTCAAAAAGACTGCACCTGAGCAAGTTTTCAAACTTATCTTCTTTGAGTCTTCTCAGTTGCAGGGCAGCTTGATGCTCCTTCTCCAAGTTTTTTGACATGCTCAGGATGTGGTTGCCACACTGTGTCTTGCACAGAAATAGACCGCAGAGTCTTCAGATGTCATGCCGCTGAGCTCCAAATAGGCTGTGCTGGAGGATGAGTCTGTAGTCAACGTGGCCTTGCCCTTGAACTTCTCATTGTAATTATTATCATAAGGATGAATATTCCCAATCCACTCAAGGCTCTTTCCATGACTCTGCTTCACCCAGTTTATGTAGTAGCTGTTGAAGTCATAGCCAGAAGCCTTGCAGGACAGCTTCACTGAAGCCCCAGGACTCACCAACTCAGCTCCTGATTGCTGTAGCTGAACCTCAGAGTGGACACCTGTGGAGAGAAAGGCAAAATATTTGTCATTGTCACCTCAGTTCCTATCTTCTCTTCAGTTTTGGAACTGATGAGCCCCTTACCTGCAGTTACTGACAGGATGAAGAGAAAGTTCCAGTTCCATCCCATGGTTAGACTCAGTGTGTCCACGCACTGGAGAGAGGACAGAGATCATAGATGGTTTTCAGTTTGGGGACATCCCTGTATTTACTGCCATAGACTGAAGTAATTTGCATATTCATGAGCAGGCTATTTCTTAGATAAAAACCTAGTCCATCTGGAGAACTGGAGGGGAAGGACTGAAAAGGCACATGGGTCAGGCAGCAGGATGCTCCGGTTCAAGTTCAAATTCTCTCTGAGGAAATTAATCACATATACTTACTGTGAACATTAGACTGATGCTATGGATGTAATAATAGTGACAAATCTCTCAATAGATTTTTGGACTGAGTCTGATGCTCTACTCGGGGATATGTTGACATGTTGATTTACAGATAGTGGAATGTGATGCTGCTGCTGTTGTTGCTGCTCCTGCTGCTGCTGCTGCTGTTGCTTCTGCTGCTGCTGCTGCTGCTGCTGCTGATGATGATGATGATGATGACAATGGAAATTTCTAACAGCTAATTTTTTTTTAGTTTTACAGATTTTTTCACATATATGCAATTGATATTTGTGTTTCCCACTGGGTATATACTACTTCAAAACTCACTGAAATGACTAAAAGTAAATGTGCTTCAAAAACCTTTACCTATCAATGATTATTGCAGGAAGATAATCAAAAACTAAATGATAGTGGTAGACATAGATGTGTCAAGAAATGATTTTATCATTAAGACATGGTTTTATATATTTAACCACTCATGAGCGTCTGCATCAGTCTTAAGACACAGCATATATGAGCCTCTGTGATCAAGGCTCAGACAATATACTGGGTATAAACATAAATATTTATAAGACAGTTTGACAACACGATGCTTAGCAATACAACTATGATCTATATCACCTCCAAACATTGGCTTTCACCACACTTACATGGGATGAAGACTTTCCTATGAATATTCACCAAAAATAAATAAAATTATGCTTTGTCCCAGCAATTACCCTCCCAAACATGTATTCCAATGACTCTACACCATATTGTAGAGACGCTTGCACACACATGTTTATTCACAGCATGTTAATCATGCTCTATTAATACCAATATAGAGGAGTAAATCATCCCAGGTTTCCAACAAAGCAAAAATAAAACATGACAAAGTGGAATACATAGAAAATTGGATATTAGTGGTAAAACATGAATTTTGTAATCTATAAGTATCTGCATAGAAGTCAAAAATATACTGAATAGATCACCCATGTTCATAAAGCAAGTGATTCATTTTCTCACTCATATGTGTTCCAAGATGTGGATATTTTGTTAGATATATTGAATTGTAGAAGCAGAGATACTAGAATTGGGACAGAAGAGTATGAGGATTTTACAATCATGATATAGTAAAATAGAGTTAAACAGAGTAAGAAAAGTTTTAAGACTGAGAAGATTATAAGAGTCAGAGAGGTTGACTGACTTCAAGGAATAAGTGTCTTCCAGACACTACTGGAGTGATGTGCATATGAATTAACAGAGGCTGTGTCTGCAGATATGGAACCTGAACCAAGTCAACCCACATAAAATCTCCACGTTGGCAGATGGAATTGGACATGAACTATGACTGCTAACCAAGGACTTCTGCAACTGACACTCACATGCAAAGGAAAAATTAGTTTCCTCCAATGGAGTTCATAGGAGGATGCTAAGTACAATTAATCATGGAAGAGCTACTTAGCAGTTAGTAGCCATAAGAAAATGAACTCGATGGTACTTTTGCAGACATTTTTTCTAATATTACCTTCTTCAGTACTTTTTGCCTCACGTTTTGCATATAATCATGGCTAAAGTGTTGTCTTACTGGTTTTCGTGTGTGTGTGTGTGTGTGTGCATGTGTGTGTGTCTGAGTGTGTTGTTGTTGTTTTTAGATTGTTTTGTTTAATTTTTGTTTGCTTTCAATCTCTTTGTAATTTTCTTCTATTCTTGGTTTTTCAGAAAGAAAAACAAAGTGTGTAGTTGAGTGAGTTGATAGGAAGGAAGTATCCACAAGAAGTTGACCATGAGGGAATGAGTTATTAGAATACAAAGTATAATTTCTTTCAAAATATTAAAAAACAAAGAAAAACAAGTAAACATAAGTCTATAAAGTGTTTAACAAAGAATCTTTATGGGGTTTGAGCATGGAGACACCACATGTCAGTTACAGCTGGACAGATCAGTTAATACACTTTAAAAAAAGAAAAGGAAAGGAAGGAAACCACAGAGGACAGTTCTCTCCACAACAGTTCATCTCTCTATGTGGATTATTGGTCTCATTGTGATCCCTGCTTGTTATGAGCTTCCATGAAGATAGTTTTGTCATGGCTCACAAATAAGTTGCATAGTCAGGCTTAAAAAATAACTTTCCCCATAACTCCAGTGTTCACAGAATTCAGCTTATGAGTTAAATGGCTCTAGTTTACCTGGGGATAATGATTTATGCTTCAGTAATTTTAAGCTGTGCCAATATTACTACAATAACCCTCTCAAAGTCAGATTACTCCTTGTTGGTAGTTCAATCCAATTCTTCCAGTTCCTGTTGCTGAAAAAGGTAATGGCAGGAGATAACAGGCTCTTTCCTGTCTTCATCAGGTGAAAGTTGTGGCAGAGCACCTGTGCTCAGAGGGTACATCACTCACACTACATTGTTTAATAGAAAGAGTGAAAAGACTTTCACAATAATTGTACACAGGGTGAAACTTTTGATATCAACAACAAAAATGTTGAAGCAGATCAAGACTTTTCTGACCCTTAGAGGCTCAAGCCATTTTGAATATAATGCTGAAATAGGCCTTCATTAACAAGAATGGATAATTAGAAAAAAATGCTTACAAAAGATGAAAAGGATCTACCAGATAAAAGTTCTTACTCTTAGAGATCAGCAATGAGAATCACTCCATAATCGCAAGGGCTCTCAGGGACTAAGACACCAAACAAAGGGCATACATGGGTTGGAAAAAGGCCCCCAGCACATGCATATCAGATGGTTTGCTTAATCTTCATGTGAGTCCCTGAATAACAGGAGTGGGGGATTTCCCTAAAGGTGCTTCCTGTCTTGGAATACATTCCCTTAACTGGACTCCCTTGTCTAGCCTCAGTGGGAGATGATGTCCCTAAACCTGCAGAGACTTGGTGGGTCAAGGTTGGGGGATATCCAATGGTGCACCTACCATCTCATAGAAGAAGGGAAGGGACTAGAAGGAGGGACTTGTTTATGGAGAGCCAGTGGAGAAGGTAGTAATTGGAATGTAAAATCAATCAGTCAATCAATCAATCAGTCAGTCAATCAATCAATCTCCCTTTGATCTCCTAATTAACATGTCCAATTAAAAATAAACCTATCATCCTCACATAGGTTGCCCATTTTACCATGTAAACAGCAGTTTTCCTTTGTATTGCAACTCTCTCCTCCCTATGCAGACTAAGTTCTTCCTTTGTCTCCCTCAGGGAAAAATTTCTCCTCTTTCTTGTTCCCTTCACCTTTTACCTTATTCTTTCTGCCCTGTCTTTGTCCCTTATTCCTGGTCCTAAGTCTGTCGTGATAACACAAGACCTCTTGGTGCTGGGAACTTTGGCATGATTTTCCTGGGACCCTACAGGCATGGCTTTACCATCACCAAGGTTGTCCTGCCATTGTCAGAACAGATTTCTGAGAACAATGAAATGGAAAGGAACAAAAAGGCATATGGTTGTTGTTATTCCAAAACAGTCATATCCAGAATCATGGACACTCATGTTCTTTCTCAGAGACACAAGAATATAGTGTCTATAGCAGTCTGGAAGATCTCCAATACAGATAATTTACATCCAACTCACAGATTTGTTGCATTCAGTTGTGAAGTTTTGTTGGGAGAATTCCTGAATTATGTCCACTCCTGTATGAGCAGTCATGTTATTCTTCCACTACATCAGATTAAGAATCTTTAATGAATGTTGGATGCATAGGTTAAATTGAAGAAATTGGATCAGAAGACATAACATTTTATGGATTATTTAATTATGAATACTGCATGATACACGATAACTGAAAAATAGGCTAAAGGAATATAAATAATGTGTAGCATTATGCTTCAGTAAATAACTTTGTACTGTGTCCCCTCCTGGAAAAGTATTCTACCACTTCCCTGTGAAAATTGGTACCGTCACCCATAGGTAGGACTAACCTTGTGTTAGGGCCTTAATTCTAAGACATAATCCACTAGAACTGTATACTCCAGGTTATGACCCCTTTCCTATGACACAGGCTTCACATTGACCCTTACTTCTACAAACAGATAACTAATATTCACTCAAGTCCAGTGGTCTGATTTCATACATGAGCCCTTGGCTTCACTCTCCAATGTATAGCAAGCACTTCTGCTGACCCTCTAGCTTAATCTATGTATTATCCACCAGAGTATAATAGCCTTCCAAACAACTGTTTATTTCTCATAACATATTATTCAATAATGGTAGCAGAAGTAATCTCCTTCTTTATTTATTATAATATTTATGTTAATTATTTGAGAATTTTTTCCTCTCTGATATATTGTATCCTGACCACAATTCCCCTCCCTGTTCTTTCTTTCCATTGCTGTCTTTCTTCCATTATATATTTCTGGTTTCTTTATCAAAAACCAGATTTATATATGTATGTGGAGGCACTTCTGGGTCTTTCATTCAGTTCTACAGATCAACCTACCTGTTTTTATGCCAGTATCAGGCCAGGTGTTTTACAATAGCTCTGTAATACAGTTTGAAATCAGGGAATGTGAAGTACAAAATTGTTTTAGCTGTCCTAGGATTTTGTTTTTTGTTATTCTTGTTTTGTCTTGTTTTGTTTTGTTTGCTCTTTATTGAAGTTAATGTGATCCTTTCAAGGTCTGTACTGACCTGTGTTTGAAATTTTAACGGTGATTACATTGAATCGTTAGACTAATTTTGGTAGGTTGGCCTTTTTTACTCTGTGAATTCTACTAATCCATAAGCATGGAAGGTCTTTCCATCTTCTGATATCTTTTTCAACTACTTTCTTCAAAGATTTAAATTTTTGTCATACAAGTCTTCCACTTG